AAGTGGCTGCCCGCAAGTTGCTCTGTGCAAATTGCTCCGTGCAAATTGCTCCCTGCAAGTTGCTCTCTGCAAGCTGCTCTGTGCAAGTTGCTCTGTGCAAGTTGCTCCGTGCAAGTTGCTCCCTGCAAGTTGCTCTGTGCAAGCTGCTCTGTGCAAGTTGCTCTGTGCAAGTTGCTCTGCGCAAGTTGCTCTGCGCAAGTTGCTCTAGGCAAGGCGCTCTGTGCAAGTTGCTCTGTGCAAGTTGCTCTGCGCAAGTTGCTCTGCGAACATGAATTGTGTGTGCAATGCCTGACCACAATGGCATGGGCCATTTTGGCTCAAGCATTGCCCTGGGTTCGCTGAACCCGTCTGTTCTTGAAAACCCACCCACCCGAGATAGGGATCATGGCCGGATTGCCGGCGAAAACAATTGAGGAGGTGCCTGAAACCATGGACCTGGCCGCTGACAGCTGGTCAGGGGGGACGACCGCCCGGAAGGCCAGGCAGGCCCGGTTACGGGCCTCCGAAGCCAAGGCTGGAGTTCCAAGGTAGCGACAGCTGCCTCAAAAAAAAGCAATGGAGGCTGATCGCCAAGGGTGAGCTGGGGTACATCCCGGCAAAGCACATCGATAGCGCCCTCCCGGAGGACGGGAACGCCCAGCTTCCACGTGCAAGAACGTCACGGTGGACGGCTGGGACGGCACTGCCCAGTTTGGCAACCTGAAGGTCACCAAGGAAGAGCTGGAGGACTGGTACTCCTTTTTACGGAGAGGACATCGCAGGTCGGAGGCCTCCGCCAAGCGATGCCACCTCGCTCTTCGCAGACCGGAACGCGTGGCGGAAGATCCACGAGATGGTGCACCAAGGCACCACCCTCTGGGAGGCCCTCAAGAGGTGTGGCAGACCCAGTGGCCCAAGGCAAAGGGCCTGCGTCCGTGGTAGGGACCCGAAACAAAACAGGAAAGGAGGTAGGGAAGACCCCCAACAACCCTTCCCTTTCAGGGCCGGACCATTGGGCCTGGAAGAATCCCAAGAGTGGCCTGCCGCAAGGACCACCATCTCCATGGCAGGTGCTCAGAGCCTCTGTGCCCTCCGTTGAACCCCTCACCTCCCGAAGTGACAGGTGGCCACTCATGCCGGCCCCGTGGTTGCCTGGTCCCAGCAGGGAGTGGCATTTGTGGGAGGCTGGTGCTCCAACAAGAAGGCGGAGGTGTACTCGTTCCATGAGCAGATCCACAAGGAAGAATATCCATGGGCCTTCAAGGATGGGGACCCCAAGAGACGGGTTGCGGCCCTGGAAATGCTGGGCACGCTCTTCCTCTGCAACATGATCCTCGTTCACCAGGGCCCTCTGTCCTCCCGGGTGAGGCTCCCGGTGGGCAGTGACAATCAGGGCAACGTCATGCAACCTGGCGGCCAACCACGTGCCGCGTGAGTTCAACCAGTGGGTTGATGATCTGACCCACCCCGACTTCGAGGGGTTTGATCTGTTGAATAGAGTTCTTTCTCGCCTGGGTGCCTCGGGCCCCGGCACGGGGCGGGCGCTATGCACACCCTTTTTCTTCATGATTTGGATCCGGGTGGGTGGCCATTGGGCCCACCCAGCCTGGAGGCTCTTTCAGGGGAAGATGAGTCCCCGGCACCAACACTGCTTGGATAGAAGAGTTATCGCTTGCTTGTGTGGTGCCGTTTGGTTAGCTTGCATACACAGGAAAACATAAGAAGAAGAAGAAGAAGAGGAAGAAGAATAAGAAGAAACAGAAGAAGAAACAGAAGAAAAAGAACAAGGAAAAGAAGAAGTTGTTCTAATTATTTTTCTGCTAAAAGTTTTGGTCGCTCTGCGCTGTACCTCTCCGAAGGGGGCTTTGGAGTCGATGGTCGATGGTGGAGTCCCCGGAAGCTCAGACAGGTCAGAGGGAGGGTAGACCAACAGCAGCTCACAATTTGCCAACGGACACGCGACATTGACGCGGTTTTTCATTTCGGCCGAAACACCGCCTTGCCTGCAGCGCTAGCTTTGTTTCCAGAATTGCAGTTCTTTTTGAAGGAAGCCAAACAGCCAAAAAGCCAAAAGGGAATGGCCAAAAAGCCGAAAGCAAGCCAAAGGAAGCCGACAACAGGAAACCAGAACCCAAATTGGGAATATTTTGTTTTTTAGCTCCAGACCCCCTCTTTGGGCCCCCCTTTCCGAGGGCTGTGTGGAGTTCCAGCGCTGCGAGCTCTTGGCGTCCGGGTGCCCGCGTCAAAGCGACTCAAAAAAACAATTGGATTTCTATGTTTCCCTCTAAAACTTTAACGAGGGAAAGAGGCTATGCAACAATGGAAGTGGACGTTTTGGGGCTCGGGCTTCCCCAAAAGGAAAGTGGTCTTACGAAAGCCTCCTGGCTTCCATGATTGTTGGAGGGAGGTTACCCTTCACAAGATGCATGGCTTTGTTGTTGTCCTTGGAAACGAGCCTAAACAAGGACACCTTCAACAAGAAGACATGGGCTGTATGAGCGGCTCCGTATCATTCTCTTCGGCCTCGAATTTTGGATTTGAGGGCTGTAAACTGTAATCTGCATATGGTATTGTTTTCCGTTTTGATGGGCCTGGATTGGCTTGATCCCTTCTTCAATCTTGGAGAAGATTGCATTGTTGGACGTTGTATGTTTGGTTTTGCTTGCTCTCATAGCGACGGAATGCCTTGACCTTTTTTGGGTCAGTGTGGACTGGCTGGACTGTTAACAATAGCCTTGAATTGATTTGACTTGATCTCATCACATCGCACATTCACCAATCCGCACCACCAGGGAGGACAAAGCAGATTCCAAGCGAACTCCGGCCCTGTCAACCTGGCGTGCGGTGAATTGAGTGGGGAAAGGATCTTGGAGCTTGGTCGTGGCACCTTGCTTACCCCCAAAGTGGAGGATACTTCCATGTATTCTTGCTTCAGGTTGCGTAGATTTTGGGGAGTGCCAGACACTTCAGAAGACAAATCCTTCCGTCAGGCAGAAGGGGGGGAGCAATGCTGTGGACAACATCTGGGAACTCTCCGAATCGGATAAACCACCTTCCTCGAGGCTTGGACAGCACCTAACATTCAAATGCCCACACTCACCCGTGCCGAAAGAGATGCAGGACTTGCCATGTCTTAACACGTCAGGAGTCAAATGACAGACAAGTAAGCACCAACACCTAGAATTTGCACATGGCCGGGATCAAGCCTTTTTAGCTTGCAGCGCACGGTTTGCGAGACTGCTGTGTAACCCAACCCCGGCACAGCATGCTTGCCGCGGGAGAGGAATCGAATACATTGCAGAATTATACCATATGGCTAGAACACACCAGCTCTTGTTTTTGAAAAATGCGAAGCTTCGTAGATAAGCAAAAGATTGTGCCGCTAATCCCAAGATGCTTGAATGCATGACCGCAAGATATGGCGCACTTCAGCAAGCTGTGACAAATCTCCGAGTTTGGAGCATGTGTCTCCAGTGCAACAGCAATAAGTGATTGTTGCAGTCCTAAGGTTGATCAAAGACATGTGTTGGGGCTTGAGTCTGCAAAGTGTGTCAGAGCAGTTCATTCTCCTCTGGTGGCTAGTGCTGCAAAAGCTAGGCTGTGACATTTCATGATCCAACAACACATGTTTCGGACGCACAATAGTGGCCGTACACTGTGGCCGTACACTTTGGATAAGAAACACATCTTTGCCACATTCAAACGAAATGCCAACCGTGCACGTAGCAAGGTGCTGATCTGCACATCAGGTCTGGACAAGCATCCCCGAGAAAAAAAAACAAAAACAAAAAGCAAGCAAGAAAGAAGAACAAGTCAAAGCAATGCACGGGACATAAAGGTTCTATGAGTTTAGAAGGCATTGACATATCAGTGTCTAAAGCCATGGGATTCGGCTTTTCCTTCCGGCCCTTCGCCTTTTCCGAGGCCGCCCCCTTCCATCCTGGCTCCTTCAGGCCTGCGATGCGCAGATCCATTCCTCGGTTGGACTGCGGGCCTGGTGTTTCGCCTGACCTTGGTGTAACCCTTGGTGTTGCCCCCCTTACGTGTCAAAAGGGAAACCCCCAAAAGGGCCAACCTGAGAAGAACACCCAAGAAAAAGTCAAAAAGCACGTTTCCCCCAGATCTGTGAGAGGAACTCGCGTGGCTTGGGACTCAGCATGGGTTTGGGGCATGGTTGCGGGCCTTAAAATCAATCCGAGTGTTTTCCTTATGTTGGATGGTACTGGCCTCAATTGTAGTGGCATACTTTGGAATATGGACTAGGATAAGGGATCCTCCCCCCATGAACTCCCAGCTTGCTATGACTATCAAGGGAATCCTCTTGGACGTGACAAAGTAGTCATGTATGCGATAGGAATCCCATTTGGTATCTCAGGAGGGTAGGAGGGTGGATCTTGCACGATGGCCCCGTGCCAGCCATCGGCCAAACATGAATGAACCGGCCCTGTTTGCAATGGCCATGCGCTACGACATGTTGCGCTTTCTGCTGGCTGCAAGGGTTCAGCTGTCCAAAGAGACAATGGACGCATTTTGTTTGGATCTTGGCGTGTGGAGCCGGCCATCCAGAGAGGATATCCTGGGGGGCAGAACGCTCCAATCAGCCGAAAACACCAAGCAAGAGTAGCTTTGCATGTGCTGGATGTATGACAGAACAGTGAAGCATACGATTTCAGGCGCAAGATTCCTGGCCTGATGCTCGAATGCCTTCCGAAAGCCACGTGGCTGAAATGAGCGGGCACACAAGAGAACAACCGAGCAGTTTCCTTGGTACAGAGCAGACCCTGCCCGCTCGCAGGTGGATTGTTGAGTCGAAATAATTGCAAGGATCGACCACGGCGAGCAAAGCTCCGCACTGCCCAACATGTATATCCCTGCGGTGCCCAGTCGTTGGCAAGCACGAGCAAGTGGCGGGATTTGTTCAAATGTAGCAAGTGATTTCTCACGTCCCCTGGTGACTGGAACTTTGGGCTCACATCGGAAATGGACAACTTTTCTCAAGCGCAGGCGCACCCGCGCCAGGATTTTGATTCAAGACTTTTAGGTCAGAAGGACCTACCCGGAGCTTTGAAGCTGAAGGGGCCAGCCCAAGCCATGCCGCACAGGGCACCTTGGCTTGCAAGGGGAGGGGCACGAATCTGTGGAGTCGACGCTTGCAGCAGATGGGCGTGTGTCTTTTTGAAGGTTGGACACCCCTCCCCCCAAAAAAAAACATAATAGGGGTTCGATTCTTCTTGTGGGTTCCTTCAACAACCGCCAAACAAGGGGTATCCTCAACAACAAGACAGACCCAAATGATAGTGTTGACCTTCAAGCACTTGCCAGGTCGGACGACTCACTGAAATGGAGAGCTGGAGCTCTTGCCCAATTGATAGGTGTGCATCTTAAGATGTTGTGCCTGAAAGCAGCAGGCCTTGCTATCTGTTTTTGCCACTTCAAAGGGATGGTATCACAGAAAGTGACCCGGACCCCCCGGCCGACCACGTGTTGAAGCCCCAAGAGCACATGGGCAAACTGAGGCCCGGGCCACCCCCCCTCATCCTCAAAAAGTGGACTGAGATGTTTCCCCCTTGACTTGTTGAATCGGAGGCTCTCATCCAGCTTGGTTGCTGACATACGGAATGAGCCACATGCTTGCTTTCCAGTAGATCCGGAATTCGGATTCTCTGTCCGATCTCAGTCATAGGGATGGGGATGGGAATCCCATCGCACAATTGGCGATTTTCCCCAAGCATGAACAAAGGCGAGCTAGGATTGTGGGATGCCCCTCAGACGTGATGGCCAAAGATGACCGTCAACGCCTTGGTGCGGTGAGTCTCATTTTAGTCTCTCTTGTCAGCCTCCCCTGTCGTTTTGCGCATGGAGCCCAAAACGGATAGGCCCCAAGACGATTCCTCGATGCAGTGTGTCAGGTCGTGATCTTTGACATCGGCGGCGTTGTCATCGACTCCCCGATCAACGCAATCAGGCAGGGGACCGGTGCCCAAAGCCCAGGGCTCCCTAGATTTTCCCTGGCGATAGCAACATCACCCTTTGGCCTGATTTGAGGTGAGCTTCCTCTTAGTGGTGATGTTTAAGGGAGAAATATAGGGACCCCAAGCATGAAGCACAAAACTCCTACCAGTCGGGTCACTGGGTCACTGGGTCACGTCGCTGGGTCGCTGAGCTGGGCTGAGGTTCGTTGCGGGGGAGAGCGGCATTCAATTGACACGAATCATCTTCCATTGCAAGCAGCTCTGGGCTGAATACCCGCACGGACAGAATATGTTTCTCAACTTCCACACAAACTCGGGTTCTGTGTTGAGACTATTTGAGCTTTTCAGCTCACTGTGTCTTCACGGTCGCAGATTCAAAGTGGGGTCGATCCGAAGGGTCCTTCAGAATTCGCATGGCCATCCTAAGAGAACTGACTACTTTCGTACTCCAAATCCCAATGCTGGGTCCCAGCCGTTGACACCAGGGACTTTTGCCAGAAGCGGCAGATCCAGGCCGGGTTCCCGGGAGCGGGGGGGGAATGATTGGAGGAATGTTGGATAGGTGTTTCTTGCGTGGGAGTACCGGTGAAAATCAGCCAGAGGTTTTTGTTGATCGGCTGGGTTCCTCATTCACAAGGGACTCAGGAGGCCAGCAGTTGAACGGCAGAAGCCCATGGATTTGGTGGGGGGGGGGGACATGGGGTGCCTTCCTGGAGCCCCTTCGAAGCCCCCTTCGAAGCCCCCTTCGAAGCCCCCTTCAAAGCCTCGAAGCCTTTGAAGCCTTCCTTCGAAGCCTTGGAATCCAACCCCTTTCGAAGCCGTTGAAAGGGCTTTAACCTTCACCTGGAAGCCCTTGACCCCGGGGGGCCGGTCGAAGGGTGCTACCAACCGCTACTGAGCACCCTTGCTGATTTGATTTAATTCTCCACGGATCCCTAAATTCATTTCACAAACCCTTGAACTTGATTCCTGGGAAGCAGCAAGAACACGAAGATGGAGTACTGCGTGTTCGGGTCTTTGCCGCGCGCAAACTTCGAGCCGCCTTACCGATTCAGCGAGCGATTTGCCCAAGGTCCCATCAGTCCCCAACCACCAAGTTGGGGTTCACCACCTCAACCCCCTTCAACCCGACTGGGGTCATTATTTACCTGGTTGTTCCCTTTAGCCATCAAACATGGGGCTGACTTTGACGAGATGCCACGAGGACCTGAACCGCTTCCTCTTCTCCTCACAAGCGTGGGCGGCGCTCGAGCGAGGCCGCCTCGCCGGGGCCCCAACAAAAACCGAGCGGCCCACTGGACGCAGAGATCTGTGGTTTGTTCCGTGTTCAGCGTTTGGACAAGGGATCTAAGGTCCACTAAATATGGAGCTTTTGGATCAACAAGTTCTTCTCCACACTCGAAACAGTGGGAGGGGGGGGGGGAGGCGTGGTGAGCTGAGGTGGTTCAGATGTGGCGTTTCGGGCCATCGAAACCAGCCGGGCGGTTGATTCGCCCCCAAAAGGAGTTTGAAGGGCGGGATCCAGGCTGGGCCTTCTGAAAACCGTCCCATCAACATGGATGTGTGCAGCAAACACGTGGTTTTTGGAGTGTCAGGAAACCAAACAGACACCACCATTTTTGGCGTCCCTTCTCTTTTGGGAGACTTTCTTGGAAAGGGGCCGACGTTTGAAAGGTAGCGCCTCCGTTGTTATGGAACCCACAGGGTGCACCTTGCATGTGGGATGTCTTGCTGAAGTTTTTTGTTTTTTTTGTCTGTCTAGCTCAGCAGCCCTCAATTTGACACATGTGTCGGAGATCCAAGGACCTCATGCCTTGCAGACTTTGTTTCTGCATATGGAGACTAGGATCTGGTGACTGTTGGGTTGACGGATCATTCGAGCTTAGGGGGTCAAGCGAGCCCCAAGGTCCCTTTGAAGTCCCAGCTGGGTTGGTTGACTGGCATTGACCCACCCACCCACCCACCCACCCACCCACCCAACCAACCACCCACAACCAAGCAATTAAGCAACCAGCCGATGAACCGAAAGAGCTGAAGTCAACCAGCCAGCAAACCAGGCAGGGTACCCTACCTGGCACCGGGTCCCGGAGCTGGATCCCTCGGGTTGCCGGTAAAACCAACTGAGGACTGGAAGGATTTCCCAGAGGCTTGGCAGCTTGGAAGGGGAGCTGGCTGAGAATGGGAACTGAAAGTGTACTATATATATATATACATACATGTATACATAAGATGTATATACATGTCCCTGTATATATATATATATATACATATTACACATAGGATGGATCCAAGTGTTCCATTCTTGGCAGACCATTTAAGACCTTAAAGATGGCCATCGTGCTGTTTGAGCAGCTGTTTTTAGACTCACCTGGAACTTCAAGAGGCTGTGGATTGAATCCAATGCTGATTCATAGCCCCTCAGCCCATGGGAAAATCATGACCCTCGGCCCCCTAGTCACTAATCACCAGGTTCCAGTTTGGCTCCTATATACTCTGAATCAGTACCCTCCCACCAATTAACACGGAACCTGACGTTCGGGACCCGGTCCCTTGAAAAGGAACATGGTTGAAACCAGGACCCTGAAACGTCAGGTTCCGTTAATTGATGGGAGGGGACATTCAAATCTCTGCTCTTCACTGATGGTCAGATCTTTTGGCTCGCTTTCGCCTGGGCCCTCCTTGCGTGGTTGACCCGAGGGTCTGAGCTAACCGGGGCTTGTGTACCTACCGTCAGATTCATGTCACGAAATTCCGAGCTCCAAAGATGAGGGCCTTTCAGGATCCGTGTGGAAAATGGGGAGCACAGGGAATATATAGGCTGGTGGTTTCCGGTAGACTGGTTTCAGGACGGTGCCACGAACAAGTGGCGGCGTTTCTTTTAGGCACCCTCCTGGAAGAGCCAACCAAAAAGAACCGAAAGGAAACACGAACACGAAGCCAAAAGGCCCAAAGGAAGCCGGGAGGTCCTCTGTCGAATCCACGTTGAAAATCGCGGGTTCATGCAGGCTGTGCTGCGGGAATGTGGGGGATCTTAGGCGAAGCCAAGCGGAGCAGATCTCAATGGGGTGATGGAACGGCTTCGGTTCGTTTTTGACTCGCTTCGACTTTAGCCACGTCTTGGGAAGACCATGGGGAAGAAGTTTGGGTCGTTTTTGGGGGAGCCAAGTGTGAACACGAATCGCACCCTCATGTTGACCCCCAAGTCGGGGTTGATCAATATTCCAGGCCCCAAATGACCAAGGGTCACTTTTCCCATTTACCGGGACGTATCATCTGTTAGTGGTTTTCCCCAATGGTCCTTGACGCCTTGCGAATTCGGGACTGGTGTGTGTGTGTGTGTGTGTTGGCTCTGGCTCCCCGAAAGTGAGGGTTTCCTATGCCCACCCCTCAGTTGTTTTTCTTTCCGGGGTTGTTGTTTCCCTAGGTTTCCAGTAAAAACACAGGAGCCCGTCAACTGGAAAGGGTTTGACACGTGCGCTCATCAACTGCCAAGTTCCTCTGTTGCCACTAAAAACACAGGATCTCATCAACTGGCAAGGCATTGACAGGTGCGCTTATCAATTTTCAAAGAGCAGCTCATGCGGTTTACAGCAAACTGTTTTGGTCCTGGTACACCGCAAAAGAGGCACCAGGAGGTTGTGTAAGCAAGGGTTGTGTACTCCGGAGAAGGGGTACCATCCAAAAAGCATGTGCCCACACATATGTATATGTATGTAATATCTATGTATCTAATCTAAGCTAATCTAATCAAGTCAAGTCGAGTCAAATCAAATCTACCTACCTACCTACCTACCTACCTAGCTAGCTAGCTATCTACCTATCCATCCACCCACCCACCCACCCATCCACCCATCCATCCATCCACCCATCCACCCATCCACCCATCCATCCATCCATCCATCCATCCATCCATCCATCCATCCATCCATCCATCCATCCATCCATAACTTTGGAACCTCCGAACTCTCCAAGCACCTGCCCCAAAACCAACTCAGGCCAAGAGCAAGGCCACGACGGAGCTCAGCTCGGCTTGGCCGCCGCGGCTGCAT